GCCCCGCGCAGCCGGATCCCGCCCAGGCTTTGGCTGTGCTGGCAGCTCCCCGGGCGCAGCCACCTGAACTGTGTTATTTCCTCTCTCTGCAGGCACCGTCCAAATTCGTTTCTGGAGCCCGTTAGCCGTTTACAGGAGCTGATCGTATCCCGAAGGGGCCCTAAAGCGGAGGGAGCGTGCCAGGCGCAGGGAGCAGCGCAGGCAGCCCGCCAGGGAGCCGACATGGAGCAGAAGATCAGCTCTTTCTTTAATTCCATCTTGGACCTCATCCGTACCAAGCACGAGGAAGGCGTCTTCAACACCGTCTGCCTGGCTGTGCTGATGGGCCTGCCCTTCGTTGTCCTCATTGCGTTCGTTTTCATCTGCTGCCACTGCTGCTTCTGTAGCCGGAGGAGAAAAAGCAGCAAGAAAGGTGGCCCCAGCAGCAACGGGCAGCTCCACGCCGAGAAGAACAAGAAGAAAAAGAAGAAGAAGGACGAAGAGGACCTGTGGATCTCGGCTCAGCCCAAGCTGCTCTTGCTGGACAAGAGGCCGTCGTTCCCAATATAGCAGACAGGAGGGTGGCAGGTCTTCCCGGCAGAGACCCCACCAGGCCGTTCAGCTATGTGCTATGAGGGGCAAGGAGATGCCACAGCTGCTGCCCCTTTTAATAGCGACTTTCAAAAGAGGATGAACTCTAAAGCCAACCAGAGCGTTGAAGGCACTTGTTGAAGGCAAGGCAGTTGGGCACATGTTTATGCAAGCTTCTTTTCCCCCACCACGACAGCGTGCCCAAGGGCAGAAACCTAGGCGAAAGGACACGCGCGCACGTGGCCACACGCACTGCTGAGCACGCGACAGTGACCTGCCGCCGGGCCATACGTACCCTCACCTACCCCCCCCCGCCACAAGCACAACGCGCTCGCATCGAGCTGGCGCTCAGCGCTGACTCGCCGTGAGCCTGTCCGTTTGCGGTCGTGCGTGTGAGCACGTCCGCTGTAGCGCAGACCGCGTGCACTTGAGGACCGAGCCGTCCGTGCGCTGCCTCCACGCAAACGCGGGCACCTGCAGGCAAAGCGAGCGCGCGCACTCCTCATTCGCCTTGCTGTGCCACAGAGACGGCCCGACTCGCCTGCCTAAGCTCCATCCAAATCCAGCCCGGCTTGGAGACGCAGAGAAAGCCGAGTGCAGAATTACATCACAGCTCAAAGTTGTCCCGTCTCCCCCAGCCCAAAGGCAATAAGAGCTTCTGAAGACAGAGGCACCTCCAACACCTATCTCAACCTTAGCAACCTCAAGTTACCATCTCAAGGCAGCCAAGCAGGACGTGCTGCCACCCCCGACTAGGGTCGGGAAGGAGAGACAAGGCTGCGAGACCAGCCCCTTTGCACCAGCACTGAAAATCTCCTCGAAAGACTGTTTTAAACAGATTTGCCTTTAAATAGCCCACAATGCTGCAGCGAACACTGCATCGCCTCTACGCTACTGCAAGAGCGGAAACGCAAGCTGAGGCCGTGTAAACGCTTAGCGACGGGCATTAGAGTTATTTATTGAATGACTACTAAAGAAGGGTAGGACCAAAGGCCCCTGTGACGCAGGGCTAGGAACTGATTCAATATTACGGCAGCGGGCCCACCTTGCCCACGCACGCAGCCATGCCCTCCCCTTGCAGCCCTTGTGCCACGGACACGTCGCGACCCCGCGCCCAGCTGCCTCCTCCATCCTCATCTTCCTCCGACCTGCGACAGCTCAGCGCAGCCCAGCAGCTCTCACCCTTACTGGTTCGGGCTCTCTGCTCCTCCAGCACCTGCAGCCCACCTCCCGAGGAGCCGGCGTCTCCTCTGCCCCCGCTCTCCAAGCCCAGCCCCTGCCAGCAAGGGGTACGAGCAGAAGCTGCGTCACGTCTGCTTTTTGCACCGCGTCCGTGCGCTAGATGCTTTCCTCCCGCTCGCTGCCGCTTTTCAAGCTGCTGAAGCGGACTGAAGACGCCAGCCAGACATCTCGGGGACCAGAAGCCAGACCCACGCGGACGAGCTTGGAGGGAGCCTGCCAGACGCACCCGCCTCCAGCCCGGGAGAGGGCAGTGCCGCCGTCCTCCGCTTCCC